ACTACCCTTGGCACCACTTCTGTAGAAATAACTATTCTGGGCACAACTTCTGCAGAAACTGCTACCCTTGGCACCACTTCTGCAGAAACTACTACCTTTGCCACAACTTCTGCAGAAATTACTACACTTGCCACGACTTCTGTAGAAACTACCTCTGCAGAAATTACTACTCTTGGCACCACTTCTGTAGAAACTACCATGGAAACCACTTCTGCAGGACCCACTTCTGCAGAGACTACTAGCCTGGGCAAAACGTCTGTAGAAACTTCTACCGTTGGCACCACTTCTGTAGAAACTACTACCCTAGGCACCTCTTCTGTAAAATCTACAACTCTGTGCACCACTTCTGCAGAAACTGTTACCCTTGGCACCACTTCTGTAGAAACTACTACCCTTGGCACCACTTCTGCAGAAACTACTACCTATGCCACAACTTCTGCAGAAATTACTACACTTGCCACGACTTCTGTAGAAACTACCTCTGCAGAAATTACTACTCTTGGCACCAGTTCTGTAGAAACTACCATGGAAACCACTTCTGCAGGACCCACTTCTGCAGAGACTAAGAATCTACTGCCCTTGGCACCTCTTCTGCAGAAATTGCTACCCTGGACACAGCTTCTTCAGAAACTACAAATATTAGCACCACTTCTGCAGAAACTACTACCCTTGGCACCGCTTATTTAAAATCTACCACTCTGGGCACTACAACCCTGGGCACACCTTCTTCAGAAACTATTACCCTTGAAACCACTAATTTACAAACTACTACCCTTGTCGCAACTTCTTCAGGGCCCACTTCTGCTGAAACTACTACCTTGGAAACCACTTCTGCAGAAACTACTACCCTGGGAACCACATCTGCAGGGCCCACTTCTGCAGAAACAACTGACTTTGACACCAATTCTTCAGAAACTACTACCCTGAGCACATCTTTTGCAGAATCTACCACTCTGGGCACCATTTCTGCAGAAACCACTATCCTTGGTGCCACTTCTGCAGTAACTACTACTCTGGGCACCATTTCTGCAGAAATGACTACCCTTGCTACCACTTCTGCAGAAAATACTACCCTGCGCACAACTTCTGCAGAAACTATTACCCTTGGCACCACTTCTGTAGAGTCTACAACTCTGGGCACAATTTCTGCAGAAACTACTAATACCCTTGGTACCACTTCTGCAGAAATGACTACCCTGGGCAAAACTTATGTTGAATCTACCACTCTGGAAACCACTTCTGCAGCTAGTACCCTTGAAACCACTTCTGTAGAAACTACTACCCTTGAAACCACTTCTGTAGGACCCACTACTGCTGAAACTACAACACTTGGCACCACTTCTGCAGAAAGTACTACCCTTGGCACCACTTCTGCAGAAAGTACTACTCTTGGC